TTTTATTATGAAGAGCGTTGAGAGAAGGGAGTCTTACGATCCGGTCCTGAGAAATACCACACGGTATATATATTAGATCTTTAGGGAAATCGCTAAGTAGCGAAACAAATCTTTTATAACAAAACATGTTGAACTTCAACTTGAAGAGTTTTAAACCCTTCAGGTGCTAGAGCTTCCACTGTTTGAAACTCTTCCATCTTCTGCTCTGAAAAACCTCGGTCAGATTATAGGTAACGTAATTGACAACATCACGGTAAACTAGAGGTCCTGGTAAACGTAATTCACAACCTCACAGTAAACTAGAGGTCCTGGTTAACGTAATTGACAACCTCACGGTAAACTAGAGGTCCTGGTTAACGAAATTGACAAACTCACGGCAAACTATAGGTCCTGGTAAACGTAATTACAACCTCACGGTAAACTAGAGGATCTGGTAAACGTAATTGACAACCTCACGGTAAACTAGAGGTCCTGGTTAACGAAATTGACAAACTCACGGCAAACTATAGGTCCTGGTAAACATAATTACAACCTCACGGTAAATTAGAGGATCTGGTAAACGTAATTGACAACCTCACGGTAAACTAGAGGTCATGGTTAACGAAATTGACAACCTCACGGTAAACTACAGGATCTGGTTAATGTAATTGACAACCTCACGGTAAACTAAAGGTCCTTGTTAAAAGTGTAGTGAACCATTTTAATACTCATTTTCACCCAATAAATGTAGATTATTTTTCGTGTTTGCTAATTTTTGTTGGACTATGTATTATTATATACTTTAGTATATGATCTCTTACTCTATTTTTGATGAATTTTTAACGAGAGATTAAAATATTCTGATTCAGACAGGATGCACACTTCGTTGTGCAGTTAGTTTTATGTGACCTGGCTGAAGCTCCAAAAATTTTACACAATTAATGAAACATAATCTCACACAAGTTAAATAATGAAATGAAAAAAGCAAGACAAGATTTGAGAACAAAGACACAAAAAAAATTTCAAAAGAATTACATTAATAATTTCTATGTTGCAGAAACACAGTTTGCTGGTCCAAACGAGTTTCTGATCAACAAAGACGACATTTTGAGCAGTGTTTGGTATATTTCTAGTGGTTCGTTAGAAGTGCTTGATAAAGGAATGGTTGTTGCTATTCTAGGTAAAGATAATTCTATTTCTAAACATGTATTTCTTGTAACTTATGAATTTTGACTTTTGTTGACAAATTAAATCAATTTAAAGTTGATCATTAAATGAGTTTTTCTTCTAGTTAGAACCGCGAACTGGGTTAAGCGCACTTCTCAAAATAATCAATGTCTTAAACTTCTTAATTTCTTTAATCTAGGACATGGTGATATGTTTGGAAGTGACCTGGACCATCTGCTTAATGAAAATAAGATTACCATACAGTGCGGATTTGATGTTAAGGTACAATTTATATTTCATAATTCAGAATTGGAATTATTACCACCTTATTTTTATCTTTTGATTCTGATCAGCTGATTGATTCTAATCAGCTGACTAAAATTCTGATCATCTGAATAATTCTGATTAGCTGACGGATTCTAATCTTGTGACACCGGTCACCTATTTAATTCTGCTGACTGATTCTGGTCCGCTGATTGATTCTGAACTACACTAACTGATCTGATCAGCCGACTAATTAGAAACTTAAAACGCTGATTAATTATTGATTTTAAGCAGTGATTCCAGCTGATTTCTGAAGCTTATTGATTTAGATTATCTGACATTATTTAGTTAACCAATTAAAGATTACAAAAAGAGCTGAATAATTTCTAAATCTTAAATTATGATTGAAAAGAAATTAATTATTGAGATTAATAATCTGTTTTGTTCCAGGCTCTAACCTATTGTGAACTGAAGTGTATTGATACCGAAGGAATGGTTTCCTGTGTAAACATGCTTTCTGATTCTTCAATTCTTACAGTTAGTATCCAGTATCCTTTATTCATCTCATACAGTTAGTATCCAGTATCCTATATTCATCTCATACAGTTAGTATCCAGTATCCTTTATTCATCTCATACAGTTAGTATCCAGTATCCTATTCATCTCATAAAGTTAGTATTAAGTATCCTATTCATCTCATAAAGTTAGTATTCAGTATCCTATTCATTTCATAGTTAGTATCCAGTATCCTATTTATCTCATACAGTTAGTATCCAGTATCCTATTCATCTCATAAAGTTAGTATTCAGTATCCTATTCATCTTATAAAGTTAGTATCAAGTATCCTATTCATCTCATAAAGTTAGTATCCAGTATCCTATTTATCTCATAAAGTTAGTATTCAGTATCCTATTCATCTCATAAAGTTAGTATCAAGTATCCTATTCATCTCATAAAGTTAGTATCCAGTATCCTATTCATCTCATACAGTTAGTCAAGGGACACAAGTATCGCATCAGCTGTGTTGAGTTCACACTGCACGCAGCGTACAATGTGTTTTACAGGATTTTAAGTGGTTTTCGTGAGATTTAACACGAAGTTCTCTGTACTTCATAAACAGTCAAAGGTTTAAAGGCCAGAATACTGTTTTAAATCGGACATTGTCCATTGAAATTACGCTTGCAATCTCTTCAATCTCTTACAATTAGTATTTAGTATTCCTTCATTTCTTACAGTTAGTATTTCTATATCTGTATTACCAGGATGTAGCCGAGGATTTAAAGAATGATCTGACGTATAATCTGAAAGGATTAAATCGTCTCCTTGGTTCTAGAACTTCAAGTGTATCCGTCCCAACTCAACATGCAGAAACACAGACAGGTTCCACACAATCAATTCTTATTTTACTCTTTCTACTTTCTCTTTATTATTATCATTATTTATTAATAACATTATTTTTATTTTTATTATTATCATTATTGGCATTATTATTACTAGGCTTCATCTTCTTTTTCAATTGTAAACATTTTCTCTTTGTAAAACTATAACAAACAAACAAAACATTTTTTGGATTTTCAAAATTTAATGAAAATCAAATTTTGTTGGAGGGTAATTTTTGAAATTCTGATTATCCATAAACCTTCCCTGTGAGGTTCAGCCGTTTTAACTTTTCTTTTTCAACTTTTAATTCTGGCTTTATCTGTGATGAGCATCTTCTCTTTGTACAGTATAATATTTTTTTATTTGCGGATTTCATAATATTTTTTCGCGCATTTGCAAAATTTTACAAAATTAATGAATTTAAGGTTGATTGGCCATAAACCTTCCCTGTATTTGTATTATTACTACTATTACTACTATCATAATTTTCAATGTTATTAAACAAATCATAGATATTATCCTATATCTCATTAGATTGCGCATAAGACGACATTTTTCATCTTGAAAGATATAAATATACAGAGATGTTTTAAAGATATTCCTATTATATAGATTAGGTCGGTTGTGAACATTGGCTGTTCTTATGTCATTGAGTACTTGTGGTGTACATGAGTTCTGTAGAGAGAAATTTAAGTTAGTTTAGTCCTTCTCATGTCCTTCTTCAGTTCTCGTCAATATGATATATTGCTCAGTGAAATATTTTAATATTCTCAAAATGAAATTTACTCCTGAGTGGTTTAATAATTGTACAATTCTTGGTGATTTTGCGTACATAAGCTATCAATGTTTATTTATTTATCTATGCTATATCATGATCCTATTATTAACAGCGATCTTTTATTTTTCGATCCGAGAAGAAAATCTTCCAAAAATATATATAATTTGAATTTGTTTAATAATATTGTAGAGTGTAGAGACCTATGGTTAGGGCGGATGAACTTCAGTACAATGAATTCTGCCAAATCTCTTCCTAAACTTGAAACTACTAAACTTATTGATGAACCCCTCTACACCAGGAATATTCCAGTCAAAACAAATAGAAAAAAACTCCAAAACATCTTTTTTTTTAATTTTAGAAAATTATGAAATCTTTTGTATAGCCTATCATTTCTTTTATTTAGACTTACATTTTAGTTGGTGTTTGTTTGACATTTTTTTTGATAATACATTTCGGCCAGGTTGACCAAATCAATAATAGAATGTTAAAAATCGAAATTTTTAAAAATTTTTAAAAATTTTAAATCTGTTAAAATCTTAAATTGTTCAAAATTATGTTTAAAATGAATTAACTAATGCTTATAATTTACTGGTGTATAAAGTTGTGCACTGTATCCCCGATACCCCCTCTCACCCTCTACACATCACAGGGTTAAATTTGATCTGGATCCTCGGAGAAACTCAAGGAAGGGTTCGGTTTCTCCAAGTCAGATATTCAATGTGAGGTTTGTTTGAGTAGATGAGTTCAGGTTTAACCAACCATCGATTCTCCGGGTAGAATATTTATACATGGTGTCCCAATAAACATGGGAATTCAGTGACGAATTCGATATCGTCTTTTCAAATAATTCGTTGATTCAGTATAGTGATACCTACTGAGAAAGCTGTAATCTGAAAGAGTTTCGTCTGCTATGTTCACATTTTGTTTGTTTATGTTTTGTCGACTGCATACGGTTGTTCTTAGTAAAACAAGAAAATTGCAGTATACAAACAGAGTAAACTTGTCCGTCTTCACTGTTCATCTTGCGGAGACATTATAGACACATCTTTACAGTCTTTTACACTTTTCATAAAATAAACTCTAAGAGACATAATGATATTATGGCGTTTGAAATTAGGTATTACAATGCTAATTCATAACAAAGACGATATCGAATTCGTCACTGAATTTCCATGTTTTTTTGGGACACCCTGTATATATATTGTCGAGCTTCTTCTTCCAATACCTATTTGGTTTTTTCTCTTTCATCAATTCAAAGAAAAAGAGATTATTACCTTTTTGCTAAAAATACACCCAATAAGATAGATTTATTAGAACAAGATTTTGAAACCCTGGAACCGAATTCTTATCCTAGTTCTGGAGTAATACCGGATAAATATCCCAAAAAAGCAATCCTGAGAAATCTATCGATGGCTAGATCCTATTCTCTGGACCCGGAAGGATCTGGTTCTATTATTGAACTACCCAGTCCTCGATATAGCTCCCTCCAGGAAGCGGACGGGTTGGGGAATAAGTCTGAGCATCCGTCGTATCTGGTGAACCACCTGGAGCAGAGAATATCTAAACCAGAACCAATAGAGACTACTAGGTACATTTTCAAGATTGTATACTTCACGCCTTGAGTTTTCTCTTGTGCAATAAGCTTTTAGTAAAGAAATTTAGTCTTTGTAACAAAATCAAATTTTCTAATCCCTATATCTTTGCAATCTGATGGTTTAAACTTTTGATATTTCAAATAATGTATAGTATGAAATGTCTAAGGTCTTACACATTGGGTTGGAAAGATATAAGGATCAGAAAATCAGAGTTTGTTGGAAAGACTCAAGTCCTTTCTCACAAGATAGTGTAATTAATTGTAAAATGTTAAGGAAACCCAAGGAATTGACTAAACTGCAGAGGTTTCAAGCTAAATTTTCAAAAAGAAATGTTTCCCTAGAAGATGACGCAAGACGGGAAGAAAACCCGAAAGATGAAATCCGTCCCTTCAATATTCCAGAGATCAGGTTGGATATAAACCCAACCCTTCAATATCCTGGATATCAGGTTGGATATAAACCCATCCCTTCAATATCCTGGATATCAGGTTGGATATAAACCCATCCCTTCAATATCCTGGGTATCAGGTTGGATATACACCTATTCCTTCAATATCCTGGATATCTGGTTGAATATAAAGATTAATTTAATCCTGATCTTCTCTCAGGTTTATTTTTACTTTTCTTGTATAAGGTAAAGTAAACAATGCAATAAGGCGCCTTTATGAGAAAAGTTTGAAAATGTTCATCTTAAACTTTTAGTTTCATTGTAAACTTTTTATTTTATTAGGGAGGAAGAGGAAATGGAGTATTCTTTATCCTTGAACACTCATCTTAATTATTATATTACTATATACTGTGCACTTTATACAAGATAAACATGAATTATAATAAACCGCAGACACTATTGGAATTGTTTCCCTGGGTTTCATACTTTCATATGTATGTGTCTATCTTTAAGGGACTGGATGCGGAATTTAAAAGATTTACAGATGCCCGATTTACAACGGTACCCTTGAAACTTTAATCCGATCAAAAATGTGGAGGACAACCTTGTTTTTCTGAAACAAAAAAATGTGGATTTCTTGAATTCCTCGTTTTTCTTATAAATCACAAATACAAATAAAGAAATTAAATAAACAAAAATACACTCACACCTAGTTCATACTTGATGAGACAACATGCTCTTAAGGGTATAGTTGTAAATAAAGCCTTGCCATCTTTTTATTGATGGACACTTGAAATTACGCTTACAGTCCCTTTTTATGTGTAAATATTTCAAACTTAGATTATTTGATTTAACATAATTCATAGTTTGAAATATCAAAGGTCTACAACATTGGGTTGCAAAGATTCAAATCCTTCAATTTGAAATGAATGATCTTGATACATTTTCTAGGCTTGAGATCCCTGATGACGATCTAGAGGATGTACTAGAAGACGATCATGAAATGGAAGAATCGGAGCAGGATGAGAAGAATGGAAATGAAGAGAAAGAAAAAGAAAACGAACCCGGAGTCAGGATGGAAGAATTAAGTAGTAGAAGTAAAATTGTTGATAGAAACGGAGCTAGTAAACCCCTGACCCGGACCTCTCATCTCACCCTTGATCTTATCCCTGCTGATCTCAAGGACGAGGTCACTGTCCGATATATTGACGAGGATGAAGGAGAGAAACATGAAGATTATTTGGAAGAAGAAGGAGAATCCCATTCTCTTATTCAATCCAACTATCTAGTTCCGCCCAGTCGAGATTTGTCTTGATCTATTCTTGCATCATCTCTAGATGGATCGATCAAGAGATCGCAAGGAAGATCTTGCAAAATCATTTTTGATTTGAGTTTATGCATGCATTTGGACATTTTTAGAGGTTAAAACAAACAATTTTCACAGAGATGATAAAATTGTCTTAAATACAAAAGTTCAATCATTAATTTTTTAACATTTCAGTATTTTATCTGCTTCATGAATAAACGGTAATGATGATGATTTAATTTTACAAGAAAACAGTATTCTCTGACATTGAAGCTTTAACTTTACTTTAACACATAGTTTCATCATGCTAACCCTATATCTGAGTGGTGAGATATTGTTTTTATTTTCAAATAGATGACCAATCTCTTTAAAGGGACCGTTAACATTTTTTGGGCAATTTCAGGGTAAACTAAATAGCCTATTAGGTTTTCATTGGTATTAGTTTTATTTTTCAAAGATAACTGTGACCGATTTATCGTTCAGAAATCTGTCACAAAAGTGCAGCACCTTTGTAAAGACACTATTTAAACTTTTTTTTTCAGTAACAGCAGCCCAAGAAAATCTAAAATTATCATATTTTAATGTTATCATGTGTTTGCCATTATATTCTAAAATATAAAAAAATGTTTGATAATAGAGTTTAAGACCAAAGATGAGGTCGTAACTCTATTATATTTAATACCTCAATAGGTCAGCGAGAGATATTAAACTTTTAGGTTTAAATCTCACACTCAATAGTTTTTAATTCAAAAACGAAAAAGATATTTTAAAACGAATTTATTTTTAACGAAAAGACTGAAATTAACCATTTCTTAACGATTGTGTCCTATTTTCGTTTTTTTGGGTTCTATATTGTATTTTGATTAAATAATTGATTTTTTTCATTTCTGCAGTATAAAAAGGATTGAATGTGAATTATAGATTAATTTAAAAGACATTTAATTCCAACTGACTCGAAATAATGCTTGTTTACCATCCTATATTTACCTCTTATTCATTGTTTTTTTGAGAAATTTTGCGCATTCATTAATTGATTACAACACAAATTGTGTTTATAACATAATAAATTCAAAATATGAACTTTGACATATTTTAAAATAAAAATAAAACATTTTTTGAACATTTAACGGAACCCCTCTCAATGGCGAATACTAATTATAACGCTTGAACATTTTTGCTCAAATCAATCGTGATTAGATTTTATATAAATATGTAATAATGTATATATATATATAATAAAACTAGTCTTATATATTTATATGTAATACTTTATGTTTAAGAAAAGGTTAAGGCCCAAAAGTAAAAGTATTAGTAAACTTTGTTTATCTGCATTTTACATAATAATCTGCAACTATTTATTATTATTATTATTGATCATCCATTGAATTAAATATAGTTAGAGCCTATAAATATCAAATATTAGAAAATCAACTGTTTTATTTTCAATACTAGCTTGGGAATCCACCGCTTACCAGTAAATTACGATTTTAGCTATTTTTCTCTCTTAAAGGGACTGTAAAGGAAAAAATAAAAGGGGGTATAGACTGAAACCTTTGCATCCCTTTAATTTTTCCTTAGCAGTCCCTTTTAAGTCAAAACCAAACTAAGAACATTTTCGTGGATAGCCCGAGTTCCCCAATCAAAGTTTGAGGCAAATCGGTCGAGAATATGTATATGTATAGATGCATAGATATGATTTTTACTGGTGTAACAATTTGAATGATTTTATCTTTCGTCCAAAATCACAGAATCATATTATTTTCACTATATTTTAGAACAATCTTAAACATTTTCATAACTATATTTTATTCCGTAGCCAGAAAGGAATTTAGTTTTTGCCACAACCTCAAATTTTCTAATTTCTATATCTCTGCAACCAGTGGGTATAAACCTTTGATATTTCAAACTTAGATTATTTGATCTAACAGAATCAATAGTTTGAAATATCTAAGGTCTACGACATTGGGCTGCCAAGATATAGGGATAGGAATATTTGGGTTTGTGGCAAAACTCAGTTCCTTTGTGAAAAGATTTTCGTCTATGTTCTTTGTCATTTTAAACTACAAATTACAAAGTGAAAGCGACATTTTTATCAGATAAAAGAATGAAGATGACAATTATTTACTGTTTTTTGGTGACCACTGTAAAGCTTTAATCTAGACCAGAAAAGGTCACCATCTTGTTTTGATTAAATGTTTTGCTTGAGGACGTTCATCAGGATTCATTTTTAAACAAGAACTAAGAAGTTCACTTAAACCTAGAAATATAAAGGAATGTAAACAGGAATTCCAAAACTTTGTTTTAAAAGACATAACTTTATTCATTGTTAATAATTCTCCTAGAAACAGAATTGCACAAAATTATATTAAACAACATTTGCTTTATTTCGGCAAATGTTGCCAGCCGGTAACCTAACCCTCAGAAAACTATCAATTTTATATTTTAAAAAAGCGTAATACTCATTTTCATAAAAGATATTTGCTAACGAAAAGGTTCAGTATAACTTTTGTCAAAGTATCCAGGTTCCCTTGTCAGTATAAAGTATACCTGGAATAGTATCCAGGTTCCCTTGTCATTATAAAGTATACCTGGAATAGTATCAAGGTTCCATTGTCAGTACAAAGCATTCCTAGATTAATATCCAGGTTCCCTTGTCAGTATAAAGTATACCTGGAATAGTGTCCAGGTTCCCTTGCCAGTATAAAGTATATCTGAAATAGTATCAAGGTTCCCTTGCCAGTATAAAGTATACCTGGAACAGTATCCAGGTTCCCTTGCCATTATAAAGTATATCTGAAATAGTATCAAGGTTCCCTTGCCAGTATAAAGTATACCTGGAATAGTATCCAGGTTCCCTTG